TGCTCGATCTTTTATACCGCACTCGACGCCACGACTCCGCATGTGTGTATGTATGTACGAGGCATATGAGGGCTGCGACTCCGCGAGCCCAATAAAACATCCAATTTATATAGCTCGAAGCGAGCACGGAGCCGAATTTCTTTTAATTGACGGCAACTTCGCATTTGTCATTTCTGCCACTTAAACTTACTGACTTATATGTATAAACGTATATATCTAGATACATTATTCGACGTAGGCAGCGCATGAATGCAGGCGCGCAAACACGAGCTGTAAAATCCCATTCCGTATACGCCGGGCGACCGTCGCCGTACGTTATTCGCTCGACTTTTCCGCGTTTCTCCTCTTTCCAGTGCGCGCGATCGTGTAGCTAATTGAATTTTTCTCGCTATTAAGCCGCGTAGCTTTCGATGGAGCATCGGTTGCGAGTACAGTGGCTCACGAGTTACCAGCTCGACTTTTTTTTTACCGCTAGCAGGACTCCCTCGATGGTCAGAAATTTTCGTCGAGTTTTCGTCGAGTGTGTGCGATTCGCACGCCGCGAATGAGATGCACCAATTTTACGAGACTTCGCGTGCAGAATTATTAGAGCTTGACGTCAGCGGAGCGAGATACGTCGCGCGCAGGCCGGATCGCGAGCAAGTTGCTCGTAATTAAACAATTGGTTAGCCGAGTTTGCTCCGCTTAATCACGTTATATGCAGATATCCGAACAGTGGTCAGAATGCAGCTATGAGCCATCTTCACCCTGAAATTCTCCCACGCACATTTGCCTGATATCGCGTTGCTGCTATGCACGTTTTGGATCGGATCTCAGGCTACATCGTTGAGAAAAACTTCAAATTTAATTTAGATTTAACGTAATATCAGACGTTCAGATTGAAGTAATCAATATTTTATTTCATTTCAAGTACATTTACAAGAAATCTTTGATGAAAATGAATGTACAAATACTGATTATTTTTTTCATTAATTTTACAAAGATTGTATAAAAATGCACATTTGTTTTAAAGCAGAAATAAATAAAAATGATTTTATTACAGTTAAATTAAAGCATTTTAATTGAAAATTGAAACTGATTCAACTTTGGCGAAGATTGCTCGAAAAATTGATAAAAATTTAATCATAATTAGCGTCATTACCACTAGATGGCGAGTATCTTAAAACGTAAATCTACAAGGAAAAAAGTCAACATAATTTTATAAGTCAAGCACGATTTTTATAAATTCATTCTGTACCTCCTAAGTAAATTCGATGAACTCGGAGTAGTTTGAAAAAGTGTCGAAAAAAGCCGAGAGTCGATATAACGCAGACGACTCGCGAAATCGAGTCTTGAGAAAATAGGAGTTTTGGATTGTTGCGGCTCGAGATCGCATAGAGTACGTACGCGCAGGCGCAGAGACGCACACGCCCGAGAGCCGACGGGGTGTCAAGAGAGTGTTAACGAAGTCTAACTAACTTGCCGCTAGGCTTGTTTCGCGAAATTATGCCTTGATTAAATCAGACGTGTTCCTTTGATGCTGCTACTGCTGCTTTCTGCTGCTCTGAATCAATATAACGTTCGCTATGTAGTTGCGATCTCTCTCTCTCTCTCTTACTCACCCCTTCTCTCTTCTGCAAATTCCCTCTCTGCCTCTCTATCGCACTATATCTATATGCAAGCGCTCCGCGTGTGTATATCAATTAATTCGTTTCGCAATGTCAATATTGCCCATAGAAGTACACGTATTTGCATTTACCGAACTAACGCTCGACCAGGCTACTCTATATTATCGAGCATCATCGCGTATATAATTATATCCTGCGAAATGTTTCGGAATTGATTCGCTTTAATACGATGACACGAATCGATAATTTTATACATATCCAATGAAGCTCGCTTATTTCCCGAGATATGCCAATTGGCTTTGCTTTTCCCCTTTTTAGCAAATGAAATTTATGATAATTTTTCTTATTTAAGTAAACCAATTGGAAGGAACAAATTTTTTGAAGCTTATGACTATCTACTTATAATTAATCTCTATTACTTTTAAAAATTTGAAGCATTTCATAAAGGTCTCTAAATGGTCAGAGATTATAAATTAGAATAGATTGAAAAAAGTAACAACTCGAACTTGGACTCGATGGTAGAAATGACAACTATCGAACATTAAAAGTTGGACGCATGACGTCCGAGAGTTTCTAATTAAGTTAAAGGGCCGTTAACGCGACGAAAATGAGAGTATTTAGGCTCTGGTCCCAGGACTATGATTGCACGAAGTGACTAATATAAAGCATCCTAATTCACTGGACTGTTATGGAATTGGTGCGATGCGAGAATAATACAGGAGCGGAGGAGCTATGCGAAGCGTCGAGTTAATGCAATCATACGAATGATTTTTCTCGAGTTTATATATGCCGACCGCGAATGAAATTCAAGTCGCTCGTGTAGCAGCAGTCGGGAGAGCTGGCGCATGCAATAATTAGTAATCTTCGTCCCACATCGAAGCAGTTTCAATTAGTTCTTTCAATTTGGCCGTGTTTTCCCACGCGACGAGCGTCGTCGTAGCCGCGCGAATGCAGCAGGCTGTATCAAAGACAATTAATCAACGAAAGCTTTCTTAACTGGGTTATAAAGTCGCGCTGCTGCGACGTGCATCTGCGCTCGCGACACTTGTGCGCTGCGATGCATTCAGATAAGCGTCAAGGCATCGGCTGTTCTCTCGCGAGCCGGTGTTCTCAACATCAACGCGCGTCGAGAATCGGACGAGCCAGAGGAGGAGTAAACGCGTCGCTGCTCTCGGTATGTACATATGCATCGATAATAGTCGCAAGCAATCATCGAGCGAGAGCTACGGCAAACAGTATCGAGCTGCAGCGCGCAAGGGACGTAGGTACCTACAAGCTGGTTATGCGTATTGTAGGGGGGAAGCGAGCCAAGCACGTGCTGTGCTGCGCAGCTACGCCGGAGGCCTCGAGAGCTGCCGTGGTGCTGCTGCCGCCTCGGATTAGCTCTGCTCCATTTCACCCCTGTTACTGTGTGCGTTGTGCCTGCCTGCGTGAGACGCCGCACGCGCACCACCGAACTTACACTTATGTTGTTGTTGTTGCTGCTGCGCCATGCACTCGAGAGGCGGCGAGCATCATCGTATGCGTCAATTGAACTTTAACCCGAGATCGCACGCACGGCCAACACAATACACACGCCTTGTTGGTCGACAATGCCCACAATGGCCCTTGCTCTCTCTCTCTCTCTCTCTATAGTTCTTGTGTAAACTCATCTTTATATAAGCGAGAGTAAACAAGTCGAAATCGCAGCTCGTTACACACATTATAGGCCAAATACACTCTACTCGCGCAGTAACGAGTTTCGAGAGTGCGTGCGGCAGATTAGCAGGTTGAGCTTGCGCGTCGTCGCCGCCGCCGCCACTGCTCCGATCCATCCTTTGAAGCTCCGGGCCACCGAGCTACACGATTTGCTCAGTCTATAGCCAGTGGCGTACGACAAGGCCCAGGGATAGTCGCTCGCTATACCTAAATTATCTCTCTCTCTCTCTCTCTACATAAGCGACTACAATATGTACATGTGGGCTCGAGATAGCTTTCCACTAGTATGTTATATATAGTCGATGCGGTCGAATGCAAGTGCAGCATTAGGGCCGAATTAAGACAGACGCCATTAATAATTCAATGTTATTTCGAGGCTTAACGTTATCAACTGGTATCCGTCGGTCGACTGGCTGCTGCTTATACTTGCTCGACAGTCGACAGTCGATCCGTCCGATGTATGTACGTACACGATGTATGTGTGTACTCTCGTAAAGCACACGGATATCTCGTGTTTCAAATTGAACATCTGCTCTCGAGGTTTATAATCCGATCATCTCGGTTCTGACTCAGGTCATCGCCGACAGCATCCCGCGCACCCAAAGCCCTGAGCGCTCTCTGGACTCTGCCCCTCTTTTGCTCTCTTTTGCTCGTTCTCTCTTCTCTACTCTCGTCCTACGCTTCACTACGCGTTTTACGCTGAAGCAGCAAAAATAGTTGGCCGAATCTCGTTATTAAATTTAATCTGATATATTCAGTTGGTGCGTCTCGCGTTGGCTCGCGCTGTCGCAGACTCGAGTTACATACCTACGCATTCATACATTTATACAGATAGTTATCCTTGGCAAATGAGAGAGACTCTATACAGGAACTCGGTTAGAATACGCACACCCCCGTAATTGTGTTTGCGCGACTTGCGCGAGGGATCCTACTGTCTCTCTCTCGCTAATATCAATTTCAAATTTCAATTAGTATCATCTGGGTGAACGAGCTAGAGCTGGCCTCGTGTGTATAGCGTACAACAGTAGCAGCAGCAACAGCAGCAGCAGCAGCACAAGTTATATAGCAAATAGCAACGAGCGGGGGGGATGCGGGGGTGCAACTCGCTCTCTCTCTTCATTCGCGATCTAAAATTCAATTTGTCCCTTCGAGTTGGTGCGCGCGCGCGCGCACTCCCATTACAAATTGACGACTCTCGGCTTATTAAGTTCTACCGAGCGATGGCTTTAATACTCTCGTTATTTATTTACGCGAGTTTAGAATGCTCCACCTTCTCCGCCCGTCCACCTACCCACCCGCCAGCAATTCCTCCCTACTATATACCTCCCTCCCTCTCTCCCTCCTTTGGCTCTCTACCAGCTGAGCCAGCTGTACATCTCGGCTATGCGCTTGTATATATAGGCTATATAACTACAACCAGTAGATTTGCCTGTTACCTTTAGACAATCATGCCCTGCTATCTTGGTCTCGTCTGCAGAAAATTAACTTACGCCCGCTGCAGAGGCCAATCTTTTTTTCTCCTAATATTGTAAGATTTCATTTGTTTCCGAGCCAAATATTTACTTGGACAACAAAAGTCATAAGAAAAACATTCGAGCACATGATCGATCGCCCTAAACTTTTTTTTCATTCTATATGAGTGGCAAAAAAATTGAACGAAGAATAAAATGCGCGTGTGTGCGTATTTTGTTGCAGATCGGGCCGGTGCACGCAGCTCAACAGCAGCAGCAGCAGTCAGCACCGACGACGACCCGAGTACAGCACCAGCCGCAGGAGCAGGCCACGCAACTGACGGCTGGGCCAGGGGCCGGCGGCGCGGGAGCGACCTCGAGGACTGGCGGAATGTTCTGCTACCACTGCCCCTCGGGTCTGCCGGCCCCGAGGCTCCCACCGACGCTCGAGTATCCCTTCGCCCCTACTCATCCGTGTGAGTATTTTTCAAGTACGATCATTTTCTAATTTGCTTTTCCATCCATCTTGGCCGTTTGGCTCGAATTGGCTTATTTTTTTTTGCGTTTGCGACCGAACAAAGGTGGTTACATCGGATAGGTTGATAATGCGAGTCTCGGCAAGTGAAAATCGTAGAAAACAAGTGTACAGTACGTCGGGCTGGAAGCATTAAAGCGAATTGAGAAGTGGAATTAGTTGATAGTCGAGGCGCGCGGCAGCTAGTCTAGCTGACGGAATAACACAGTAGGCAGAGGCGCATGTGTGTGCGTTATAGTACAGTAGCGTAGGTAGCCGAGGATGACCCAAGGGAGCGGAACGCGTGCAGCCGTCCATCGAGTCGGCGGTAGCAGCAGCCCTTCCAGCTAGCCGCTTCTGCGCTACATGCGCTATATCCTAGTTGTAGCTTCAGTCGGTTTAAATAGATTAGGTAACTACGTGATAAGTCGCTAAGTGGCTCACCGCCATATATACCGTATATAGCAGCAGGTCCGGCCAAGCGCACCCCTCGTGCTGCTGCTGCTGCTGCTACTTGCGCTCACTTGCTTCAACTATATGCCACAGTGGTGGTATAAGTAGCTACAACATTGGCATCGGTGTGCTGCTATTGCAACTGTATGTGCCTGCGCACATCGCCCAGTTCGCGCTGGCTAAACACACGCTCGAGAGCCAGAGCCGAGTTATCTACGAGTTATGCAGAGAGATGCGGCCGGCTCGACTACTACTCGAGTTATGCTCATTAGCGACGCTCGCATTCACTCATTAGATTTCGCTCGTACAGCCCGAGCTTGTATAGTCGGCAGAAAAGCTCCGCGTCGACCTTCTCGATGCGACGTCCCCACCCACCCACGACTCCGCGCATCGCCCCGCAGCTATAGCTATAGCGTCTCATTGGCAAATTGGATCAGTGCGCGAGTCTCTCCTGCAACCGATGACGACTGCGACTCGCTTCTTTCCTTTCCTTTCCATCCTCGTCCTCCTCCTCCTTCCCTGGCAGCTCCTATATATATCTGCAGCTATCTCTTGCTCTTTCAGCCACCAGCGGATACGGCTCCTGGCTTTACTTTTCCAAACTCTAATCCAAGACTTTGAGTGGATTTCAACTCGCTCGGCTCTGCCTCGTTGCTGCGGCCATGTACATTTATTTACGGCTCTCTCTCTCCCTCTTCAGCCTCGCTTTTCTCTCTTGCTTTCTTTTTCTTGGCCACTGTAGAATCCGATCCGAACAATCAATAATTACCTCCCCGGATTTTTTTCCCTCCTTCTTCCGTCCGACTCTCTGCGGTTTTTTCCCTGTATCTCGACGCGCGCAAACTTTCGTCTCTCTCGCAGTCTTTTCTTTCTTTCCGGATGATCGGGAACGCCCGCGCGCGCGCGAGCAGCTCTGCTTCCAAATCGATTTAGCAACGAGTCTTGATTGCGCTAATTCCTTAAGTTCGTTCGACCAGACGTCGCCGCGCGCATTTTCGATTATACGCGCGCTGGCAAATCAATTGCTCTCGACTACGTGTGCGGATCCTAGCGTGCAGTGAGAGAGTTCAGGTATTCCTTCAACCACCGCTACAAGCTCCCTGCGACTGCGTGCAATTGATGAATAATCAAGGCGAGAAGGGCTTACAAGAAAAGCACAAAGCTCTTGTGGCGTGGTCAGCGCGCGGGCAAACGGCTGGATTCGAGCTAGAACTCGTGTATTATGACGCTGCTTCTGTTGCCTACACACGCATGTATATTCGTTTTCAATTTGGCGGTTGCAGACTCTCGCTACTGTGGCTTTGTTAATTTTTATGAGTTTAGCAAATTAATTTGTGTTTTTCGTTAAGCCATAAGCTTAGCGCCGTAGTAATTAATTGCGCTGATTGCTTTGCATCATTAATGAGTCGGACGCTGCACGAGCAGCCGCTGCCGTATTATACATGTATACACACAGGCAGCTTTGCAATCGCGCGGATATATACTCGTGCAGTTCTCTCTGTGTCTGTCTGTCTCTCTCTCTCTCTCTCGCATTCGCCCACGTTCGCTCGCCCATTTGTCGCTCGCAGACTCGAGCTAGCTAGCTGCTATTTTCTCGCTACAGTATATATACGTACGCAAAAACCCGCGCAGCGCCACGGATCATTTTCAATTTTCCTCTGCCGCGCGGAGATGAAATTTTAACGAACTTAAAAGTCAATTATTCATCGACGTCGTGATGCAGCCGCAACTCGAGTAATATCCGATTATGCCCGACACACGTGTACGCAGCGAGCGGTTTACATCTTTTCGCGATTCGCGTGTTTTTTTTTCGATCGAATATTCATACAATGCGCCCCCCCCCCCCCTACTTCGGCAGCCTCGCTTATTTTATCGTTGTACGATCTGTTGAACTGGTGTTGCAGATGCGAGCTACTCGGCCTATCATCCAGCGCTTCACGGCGTCGGAGAGGATTCCTTCGTTCGAAGAAAGCAGCGAAGAAACAGGACGACTTTTACTCTGCAGCAGTTGGAGGAGCTCGAGTCGGCCTTCGCTCAGACTCACTATCCGGACGTCTTCACGAGAGAAGACTTGGCGATGAAAATCAACTTGACCGAGGCGCGAGTACAAGTAAGTTATTTTACTATACTTTGTGCGTATAATATAAGGAAATCCAAAATAAAAAAAATCGTTCTCGGGTGAATTATCAAATTTTATTCAAGGGTATTCATGGGTAATGCATGGAACGATAGAGTCAGGAAAAACTCGAAAAAAAGTTTGAGCTTTTATACTCTCGAAAAGCTTTATTGAAACGAAGATTCTCACTCGATCTAGCTGTCATAATATTAAGCTCGAATCATGCTTCCCTTTTTTTTCGCGTATACTTGGTAAAAACAGCCGAACGGCTGAGCAGGAAAGTATCGCTATGATGATGGACGTGAAAAAGAGCCGAGGAGTAAAAAAAAAAAATAAATAAAAAAGAAACGGAAAGGCAAGAGCAACGGCGGCGGCATCGCAGCAACAGCGGTAACGCGTACAGGTCGTGCTTTATGACCAAGCGTGAAAACAAGGATCTAGGCCCCGAGGGTCTTGCTGACACCCTCGACCTGACGTAATCTTCTGACGAACTAAGCCGGTAATTCGCCAGATTGTTACTCCCTTTCGGTCTCTTTCCCTTCTTCGTACATTCGTTTCCAGCCGTGTGCCGTATACGCCGAGCTCTAGCTCGCTTTTTCTTTCTCTCTCGCTCGCTCTCTCGCTTCCCATTATGCCTCATGATTCGATCTGTTTCTTTTTTCCGAGCAAATACATCGAGCGACAGATTTTCGAATCAACTCGCAGATTTTCAAAAATTATCGAGATCCTTGGCGCGTCCTCGTCGATCACAATTATTAAACAAGTTTCGATAACGTTTCGCGACGTTTCTTTACAAAAATATCGTCAATTTCGCTTATGGATTTTGAAAGAAAAAAGGATTCTTGTAAGTATATTCGTGTAGGATTATTGTAAAAAAGATTGAGAGCTGGGCAAATTTAAAATTCCATTGATATATAGAAGCATGTTTTCTCTAGGGTATATTTCTCCAAGCCCGTGTAGCGCGTTATTACCGCCCCAATGTAGACGTCAATTTTTCGTAGTTTAGGGGGTTGGCGCTGGTCGATAGGCCGTATTTTAACCTCATTTTAATACCATAAATGTAATTTCTCCCATCGTATACATTTGCTTTTAACGTGAAACGCGCGGCTGGGCTTACTTTCAGACTCCGCGAACCTACATTACGCTCGAGATATAAATCGAAACGATCCCGTAAAACTAGCTCGCGCGATCTTGGTCCATGATTCGAGAAAAATATCCTCAAGATCGTCGAGTTGGAAAGTGGAAAAATGCGAGAAAATGTGCACGCGAGAGTACGACGCGCAAGCTCCGACGGCGGCTTCTCACACACACACACACACGAAATGGCAGATTTTGCCTAAACGGATGGGTTCGCTGATCATATATAGTAATTAGTCGTCTTTGGGCCGCGCACTCGGAAATGCAATCGAGGCCGCCTGTACCGCCATAGAGAGACTAGAGCGAAATCGATGACACAGCGAGCTGCCAAAGGGAGTAAGAGCAGATAGAAAGAGAGAAGCCGCTCGGCACGTGCGCCCACCTAGAGCATACAGTAGTAGTAGTACGTCGTGTGTCACATATAGGGCCGTCGGCTGTCGGCTGTCGGCTCGCTGACGCAATTACGGCGCAGACTCGTTGTTTCATTAACTCGAAGACAAAGAGAATCTGGAATAATGGACAAGTAGCTGCTGCAGCGCTCGCGCCCGTTTATGCACTCGGAGGCTGGCCGTTAGCCGTCGCTGCTACTGCTGCTATACGACAACGCGCGTGCACCTTGCTATATAGCTCTTACGTATTATATAAAAAAACACACATACAGAGAGAGAGAGACACTCAATCTCGAGCGGTGCAGCAACGCCAGCACGTTTTTCTCGTCTCTTTTGCACCCGCTTCATAAGTATATACACTCCAATTAAAAACTCCTGACGAGGTCCCGAGCGCCGAGGCACGTTTCGCCGAGGCTCGCCTAGTTGCTTGTCCCACACTGCACACACACACACACGCACGATACATACGACGTTCTCAATTTTGTCAAATATATAATATGAAGTTTCGCGTCGCGTGCAGCACGCGCTTCGCTCTCTCGTACGTACATCTTTCACCTTTTCAATCAATCAAGCGAGATTTTCCTATCTAGTCTCTCTCGCTCGAGCGTGTCATGATTTATTCTCGACACCGTGTCACTTTATAATATGTATAACTTGACTGGAAAGTCGTTTGATGAAAAGCTCTCTCGGTAAAGTTGCCCGATCCTCGGCTAGCTGTGTTGCTATATACATGCGCGCGAGCAAATGATGTTTTTTAATCACTCTAAGTAAGCAGCGACGTCGGCCTCGTCTTCCTCCTCCTCCTCCTCCTCGTCGTTATAAAATAATTCGCTTATGGCTGCTCTTCTATCTAATGTACTTAAATATATACATGCCTCGTATACACGCTGCCGCTGCAATATTTATACGACGCGACTTTCAAATCAATGGCCTACAAAGTACATAACGGCATATCGTAAAACGCCCCTCATTGAGGACGAGCTCGAGAGAGCGCTCGAAAGTTTGTTTCGCGACGACGAAAGTGAAACTAACTCAATTTTTAACCCTTTGAATTAATAATGAGGCTCGTGTAGAGCGAGATCGAGCGTAGGTTGCTGCTGATGCTGCGCGTGAGAAAGTCCTTGCGAGTTTCGAGCCTGCTCCATCAGCTGTTTGTCGTATACGAAAAGCTCCCTGGTCGGCGCCGTCGTCGTCGTCGCTGCGGCATGTACTTGACATTCGATATCCTCGTATACTGCGCTCTCCCTGCAGCCCGACCCGAGCCCGCGCGACAGATTCCGAGCTCGCAATTTTTCAAATCTGATTTTCTCCCCGCTTGGCCTGGACTAACTAATTATTGCATTAGCTCGGTGACGAATGCTTGAAATTCACTTTTACGAGTCGAATTTATTTTTCTCGGCAAGCGAAAATTCACCATTACGTTGGAAACAAATTCGAGGAAAAAAAATTAAATCGATGTAAGGCTCACGATACATGGCGCATTAGCGCACTCGAGTCAGAACGCGAGTAAAGAGAGAAGATTGGAGTAAAGTAAATGTCATAGCGATTTCCATGGAGCTCGGAGTTGCGGCAAAGTACGAGTAGTGTACGAGCGAGCGAGCTATCTCTTCTGACGTGGAAAGTTAGTGGATTGAATGGTTTTAGACACATTTAGGATTAAATTCACATCGCGAGGAAGGAAGAAGACTGCGAGAGAGAGAGAGAGAAAAAGGGAAAAAGAGAAGTATAAAAAAGTGTATATTCTCGAGGCGGTGGCGGTTGTAGCTCGCGCGCGCACGCCGAGGAAAGATGGATAAGTGCAGAGAGAGAAAGAGAGAGAGAGCTAGCGAGAAGAAGTGGGGTAAAAATTCAACGTTCTACGCTCGATCTCAGGGGAATCGCGGCTTTGTTCCCAGCTATTACTCGTCCCAGGCAACCCTTAGGATGTTATTATATCTGGCCGTCTGGCGCGCGAGCGAGAAAGAGAGGGCCTCTCGCGCCACACGCGGCTACATCCATACTACTACTACTACTACTATTACTACTACGCGCCAGCCAATACACTCGGTTTCTACCGCACGCTCGACTGCTACCTACACCGTCGTTTTCTCCTGCTCCCGGCGATCCTTTCACTCCTCGCGCTCCTCCTCTTTGCGACTTTTCCCTCGCTTCTCCCAGCTATACTCTCACCCACTTTTCCCCGCGTACGCAAGCACCCCTCCTCGTGTGCATTTTCCTCTTGCCTTCCCCGTCCTTCGGTTCCTTAATATCCTTTAGCAAAGAGCAGAATGCCTTGGCCTTATATATACCTTTTTTCTCTTTCTGCGAGCTATGCATGAGATAATCGCAGCCAGACTGCGGACCCTGACTCACTCGCGAGACTCGCGAGACTCACTCGACTCACTCTCGAGTTTCGCTTGGATGGAAGAAACGAAGCTCGTCGTATTTATTTTATTAAACCACTTTCCGAGCTCCCTGCCGCAGCAACTTTTTAAACACGCCGCTTCCTACGCTCCATCTTTCCGATTTTTTTTACTTCCTTAAACTTATATTCCATGTTTTTATCTATCTCGTTTTCGATCGTGCAATTATTATCGGTTCATATAGATAAGTAGGAAATTACATTAACTCCCAGCCTCAAATTATATACTTATGGTCAATCCGAGCCCCTACAGCGTGTCCAAAAAACAATATAAGACTGGCTCAGCTCGAATTGTGCACCGCGCACCGCATATTCGATTACGCAATTGCAGCTCGTTTTAGCGCACATTCAGCGAGACAATAGGTGCTAGAGACGCTTCTGCTGCTGCGGCGTCTCGCTCGTCACGAGGTTGCTCCGCTGCGCGCACGGATAGCGCCGTAATGACATGGCCGGGAGGGATGCTTTCTTCATACATATAGCGCCACTCGAGGCCGCGTAGTTGCGAGTCGTCGTGGAACACGAGCCGAGAGACGTATATACATGGTACGCGCGGCACAGGGTGAAACGTGTGGAAGGGTCGCATTCTTTTGCTCGGCTAATAGACAAAACGTTAATAAAGCCCGTTTTAAGCGAGATTACGAGTCGCGTTAGGCACGTTAGCGCGGAAAACTTCAACTCGAGCTCGAGTAACTCGCGCTGCTGGCTCTTGGTGAGCGCCACTACGCGCCTCGTTAGTCATGCGCGACCCTTTTTCTCCCCCCCCCCTGCGCGCATATTCCACCTTTTTATTATCTATTTTTCTTCGTTTTCTCGCAGCTGACACGGTGTGAGCGCAAAATGTAAGCGCATATTCCTATTTACGGCTAATACGCGCCGCCGCCACATATATTCAATTTGCGGAGGAAATTTGCGCTCCAGTTATATAAGACGTATACTAAAAGTATTCACAACGCGGCAACTTACTTTGGAACTTTATCGACATTAATCAACACTCTTTGCTCTTCCTTGCGTCTTGGCGTCTCGACACATATAGGTATGCGCGTACGGGCAGGCGTTATATAGATATTTCGAGCCAATAAGCTTAAGCCTCTTATCGAATTGAAAATAAATGTTCGTTCCTAATTCATCGGGGATTCAATGCCAGCGAGGAATCCTATCGAGCCAACTTTTTGGCTCCTCGCCAAATGGCATCCATATTACGTAGCCCAGATACTTTTCTCATTTATTCGACTTTTCTCAACTTTTTAGTATTTACCCGGCGCAAGAGTTGATTTAGTTCGGACCAGCGCGAATTCCCTTGCATTGCCCCTTTTGATAAATCAGCCTCAATTTTATAAGCCAATAAAATTTTATTTCATCTATCTACATTCGATCAATAATTAAGAACCAAAAAAAAACTTATTCGGCAATCAGTTGGCACCCGATCACATCTTCTTATTTAGTTTTTTAGCCATATATCCTTAGAACGCTTCGATCGTGCGATAAAACATGTAACTTCAAGTCGATGGTGTGCAGGTATGGTTTCAGAATCGCCGAGCAAAGTGGCGCAAAAGCGAGCGACTGAAAGAGGAGCAACGCAAGCGCGAGGGGGTCTCCGATCCAGGTGATCCGAGCTCGAACTCGACCCAGCCGCAGCACGAGTCGCCGAGTCAGCCGACCAACTTGGCAGCCGAGGACTCGTCGATGCCGGGAGCTCGAGAGACGCCCAGCGCCGAGGCCGGCTCGCGAAGTCCGAGCTCGACGTCGGCCTCGGTCAGTCCGCGTCCTGGCCACGGGAGTCTCGCATCTCCACCCCCGGCGCTGCTCTCCAACTCTCGACTGACACCCCAGTCGTCTTCGTCGTCGACGCAGCAGCAGCAGCAGCAGCAGCAGTCGCAATCGGAACAACAGCAGCAACATCTCGCCAACGCCGCTGCGAGCGGAACTGGAGCCCCCGCAGAGAGGTGAGTTCCGGATGCGATACGCACCATTTATTCGCTCTTGAGCACGTGTGCGAGACTTTGCTGGTCTTTCGACATTGTCCAGAATAGTGCGAACGCATACAAATACCATTCGTACCAACTTTTTTTCTTTTAATGCGATAACGTTCAGAATAGAGCTAGAAAATTATATGGCGCGTTTCTTTCATGTCTCGACACGTGCAAGTTGAGCGTCGATCGGCCCCAAGTAGAGGAAATAACGAAAAATGTTCTTCTTTCCAGCAGTAGCAGTAGCAGCAGCACGCCGAGTGGCGCTGGTGGCGGTGGCGGCGGCGGCTTCCGTCCAGTAGAGACAGGCACGACGTCGCTGTTCTTCTCGCCACACTTGGCGGCCCAGTTCTCGTCGCCGCTGTTCGGCTCGAAGCTGCAGGCAGCCGCGGCGGCCGCCCAGAGCTCCGTCGCCAGCAGCGTCAGCAGCGCCTCGCTGGCCTCGAGCATGGCCTCGACGATGGCCTCTAGCATGGCCTCTAGCATGGCGGCGAGCACCGGCTCCCTGTGGAGCAGCGCCGTGGAGTCGCGGATGGCCGCCAGCAGCAGCCTCCAGGAGATGCTGTCCTGGTCACCGGCGGCCGCGGCGGCTGCCAACTGGGCCGGCTGCGCGAGCTCCCTCTGCGGCTGCTGCAACAAGGGACCCAGCGCGGGCTCGAGCATCGCCAGCGAGCTCCAGCGGAGCAGCAGCCTGGCCGAGCTGCGCAGGAAGGCCCAGGAGCACTCGGCCTCGGCGCTGCTGGGTGGCCTGGCCTCGGCGGCCTTCCACTTTCCGCCGCTGCCGCTGCCTCTGCTGCCGCCGTTGCTGTCGCTGTCGCGCCGTCCGGAGGCCCACCATCACCATCTGCACTCGGGGGTGCTGCAGCAGCTCCAGCCGAGCTCCAAGGACGATCCCTAGGCCAGTGTCGATTGCCGATCCCGGACCAAGACTCCGGGACGATCAAGCGCGTGCCTATTATCTGCCTCGTAAGCCCGAATCCTACGCGTTAAAAGTAGTCTCGACAATACAACGATGTTGCAGTCGGCCTTGCCGCGGCACCGAGCGCCGACCGAGTCGAAAACATCTTGTAAATTATTGTGCGCTCGCGCGGGTCTGCTCGGTCGGACGCGTGTGCCGGCCAACACGACCGTAAATCTTACTGTATATTATTGCGTATTATTTGTAGATGAAAAATGTATATGTATCATATTATATAATAACGAAAATCGATTACGTAGCCATTAAGAGTTGATAAAGCAGAGCTCGATGTCCGCCTCAGTTCTTGCTCATTATTCAAGTGGGCCTTCCGTCGTCGCTTGAGACATTTTCATGGACGATCGACAGATCGCGTAATTTACATGAATTATAAATACTAGATCTATATATTATAAATATATATATATATATTATAATTACAAAAATATATGATAACGACGTATATAATACGACATGCACATAGTAGCGTATAGCTCATCGACCATGAAAGTTGCAGCTGCGCAAAGTCTAGATAGCAGCAGATATGCAAGGTCAACTCGAGCCAGGCAAATCTAGCAAAGACTGTAGAGTTCATTGTCTGTAGTAAATTTTTAAATAAACTGGTTCTCTTTTGTCTGACAAAGTCATAAAATCGTTGCTGCTCTCTGTGTACTTTTATTTGCTCTCACTCAACCCGTAATCTCTCTCACATTCGTTTTATAGTTTTACAACAAATTTCATTTGATTTTGGCATGGTTTTCATTTTCGATCTAGAAAAAAGTATAGCTTCTAAAAAAAATGAACCATTGATGAATCACCTAAAATACCTTTTACATCCTACTTCCTTACTATGAAATAATAATGAAATTTCTCTTCAAATTTTCTTTTACGAAAACTACTTAATTTTTTTCTCACTATCTATATTTTTGATAAAAAAACAAGATACAATGAAATAAATTGTGCCCGGAAGATAAAAATAGATCAATATCGTCATGAAGATTGTATACGTGAGTCTTTATAAAAGAAGTTTTCAATTTTGCCGAATAAAAGTGTCAGGCACTTTATTTCGATGTCTCGAATCGCAGGTATATAAAAATAGTATATACGAAAGAGTAGTAGTATCAGTGGTATAAATCTGGAAGACGTCAGACAGCACACTCAATTGTCAATCTTGGCGAGAGAGGAAGTAAAGAGACAGAAGGCCTGAGGGGAGGTGAGGTTGGTTGGGTAGGCTCCGTGTGTATTTGTGCGAGAAAAGCTCGTGACGAGAAGGATGGAAAAAGAAGAGAGGAACGATGGAGAATAAGAGTAAACAAGCGTACGAGGAGCAGCCGCAGCAGGAAGGAAAGAAGCGCGCGGGTGAGCAAGGGTTTGTGTTGGCAATCAATGCGACGCACAAGCAAAGCTCCGTGGTCTTGGGATAGCGTCGCGGAGGGGGAGCAGTCGCGCGCGCAAGAGACTGCAGTAGCCAAGCACACGCAGTCAAGGAGAGAGACAGAGAGAAAGAGCGAGATCGAGATCGGGGTAGGTATGTGTATAAGGCAGAGAGCAGGAGGGAGTCGCGCACAGCCAATGGCAAGAGAGGCGCCATTGATCGGCAGGGGTTGGCTTCCAAGGGAATAGACATTGCCTCGACTGGCACAAGGAGAAGGGATGCAGTAGCCCCCATGCCATCGTATACATAGTCTGAAAGTAGTGTAGTGCGGCGGCTCGTGGCCTATACGTCTTTTGCGCACTCTGTTAGATTTACGTTTAAACCGTATTAATCAACGACATCGTGGCTTACACGTTACGCAATGTACTTTTGACAAAACACCTACCTCCTCTTGCCACCCCCTTCCAGCTGCGCTTCTCGTATACTATATCTCTCGGTCTATGCTACGGGCAATGCGGGGGGGTCAGGGGAGGAAGAACAAGACAAAAGGGCCACCCTCTCACTCAACCTCACTCTCTCTCTCTCTTCTCTCTCTTTGGCTGTATACATATACGTATACACAAGCAGAATCATAAGTCTCGATGTCTTTCCGTTGCTTTCGACCCTCCTCTGACGTTACGTAGAGCTCGTTTCTTCGGCAAGCAGTCCGCACGAGCGTGTACGCTATGTTCATCTTCCGTCAACTATACGACCAAAGAGAGCACGAGATAGCGACGGGGCAAAAACGTACATAGTGAATTTTCTTAGCAGGAATTCCATTGCATTTCCAGATACGCAGCTAACAGCGAATCGTACGGAGGAGGAGTATAAAGAGCCGCTGCGTAGGTTGGCTAGGTAATAGCCCGTTAAGGCGCGCCGGGCTTCCGAACAAAGCGAACTGCCCAGATAAACACTCGCTTACTTTGTTTCAACCTTTATCGCATCTGCTATCCGGGATTACGCTCGTGCCTAGCTTTTCTTCTTTTCCCGACCACGCCGCGGCTTCCTGCACGCCACTACTATGTACTTCGGGCTAGCTCTCGCTGTACATAGTCCCCCTCTTCTACTCCTCGGCCGTGGAAGCTACTTTATGCCCGTACTAGTCTTTTTCTCCGCCCCGACCCCCTCGACCCCCTCGGCGGGCGCGTTAACCCTCGCTCGCACTTGACGCGCTCTTTCTCTCTCTCTCTCTCTCTCTTGTTCTCCAATTCCTGTGAATAATTAAACGTTCTCGCGCTCCGCATTCACCCGTTCTATTTATTATGAATAAATATACGTGTCATCGCATTGTGTCACCGCCGCCGCCGTCGCGCCGTAAAGTTTCTTCAATAATGCAGTCGTTCAACGGGTTTCGACAATTTATCGATTCGCGCTCGCGCCCGCGAGCTTTTTTCCAAATCGAAACGAAACATCGAGTCGCGCGCGCCGTATCGACATATCAAATTTAAGCGCCGTTTTGTCAGGATAAGTAATGCTCGTTGTTTTTCCCCTAGCTCTCGAGCCTTTGAGCAATTTCGTTTCAATTTGGCCAGCGAGGCTTTTGCCATACACCGACTGCTGCAGATCGACAATAATATTTATGCAGCTTGAGTGAATTTGCTCTAATGGAAGCTGCTGCTGCCTCTCTCTCTCTCTCTCTCTCTCTACCTCTGCCTTGATACTCTATAATGCAGTTTCAACTGCTTCGTTAAAAAAAAATCCAATTACTTATGGTAACTAGCGCGTGAATCGTTGATTCTTGAAAAAAAAACCCGTACGAGCTTTACGGGTGCACGAGCCAACGGTTGCAGGCAGTTCTATATCCATTTAAAAAAAAGGCGGCCAATTGCGAAAGTGAAGTAAAAATACTGGTAGTCATATCTGTCGGAAAAACGCTTAGAGGTAAAATTTTGATACCTCAGTGGTACGAGCAAAACAATTTATTCCATTAAACTGCAACTCGCGCGATGGCAATAAGTAGAGAAGATGAAAAAAATGAGAAAGGGACAGAAAAAAAAAGAAAGGCTGCGAAGAGCAAGCCGCAGATCAATTATACATGCAATAATACGCGCGAGCCATACATTTTTCCTTTCTCTCGTTTTTTTCCCCCGTATAGCGTCGAGCTTTCGAGCTTCGCCAACAAAGTAGCCTCTGTGCGCGCGCGCGACTAGAGTAGCTATACGAGGGTCGCGAAAGCCCGGCGCGCAGGGATGAGTATAAAAAGCCGAGAAAAAGGCCGAGAGTAATGGGCCAGGAGATGAAATGCCGGGAAGTGAGGAAGCGGCGAACCGAGCACGCTTCTTTCTGCATTCTCTCGGCGCTTCTTCTTCGCTCGTTTGTGTGCGCCTGTGTGTGGCCAAAGGGGTTTATTGCGAACAGCTTTGCAAGCTCGTTCGAGAATCGAGTTTTCTGTTTATAAAAAAAAAAAAAAAAAAAAAAAAAAAAANGATTAAAAAAAAAAAAAAAAAAAAAAAAAGAACGAGAGGAGAAAGGAAGAAAAAAATAAGGAGGAGAGCCGGCCTGGAAATTGGACTTTATCAAGACGTACTTGCAAAGCAACTCGTTCGCATCGGTATATAGATTGGGCTTTTAGTGTCGAGCCACTTGGGATAAAACCTACCGAGTGATTTATTAGATATTTTCTGTATCGCTTTTGCCCTCCTCCTTTGCTGCTCGTTCGTATGCATCGCCTAAACCGCATACACACCGATAAAAAATCGATCTTTACACCAAAAATTAACCTGATGTTACGTTTGTCAAGTCAGATCACCTAAAAAAAGTATATGCAAAAACTACCCAAAAATCCTTTATAGACAAATAAAAAAGTAAAAATAAAATTTTGAACATTTTATTTGAAAATCCACGAGAGTGGCTAAATGATAGTTACTTAAAATGATTAATGAGGTAGAACATTCAAGCCAAAAAAAAAACATTCAAGCGCTTCTTCCAGGATTTTGACTTTATGTGTTTTCAAAAAAACTACACGAGTGCCTAGAAAACAACAAAATTTAGCTTCTCAGAAAAAATTAATTCCGTGTATTTGTCTATTAAAGTATTCTGTATCAGTTATTTACTGTATTATATATTCAGCAATAAAATACCTTATGGTGTTACAATAAAATGTGAAATTTTTCATATAGTGTAATATTCAAAATTCTACTAAATACTTTACTGAGAAAAACCTTGAAAACCCGTGAAAAATTTTTTATTCATATTTCGTTATCAGCTTTATCAAAGAAATCGACAGGATAAAAGATAAAAGACAATTACTTTAAAGCTTCTTGAATTTATTTCAATTGTATTGTTAATTTAGCAAAGCTCAAAAACAGAGTATCAGAGTATTCATAAAAAAAATTAATTGTATCTTGAGCCATGTAAATATGTACGTGTAAATATAAATTGAAAACGAATTTAATTTATTATGTAGGCTCTATTGGACGTTGTTGTAGGTTGCAGACAAAGTTGTTAAGTAAGTGGAAACTTTTGAATCAATTCCTTTTTCATCTCTAGATATCTACGTTTAGATTTTTATTGTATGCTTATATGTTTTATATTTTTAGATTGAATTATTATGTTACTTCATGCATCTAAGAGATAATTGTATTAATTTTAGTGAAATCTGAATCAGTATAAAATTAGTAAAAGCGTGCAAGTTTTGCACGAATAAAATTCTATTCGAATTTGAAAAATTAATCAATCATTCGTTTGAAAGATAGGATAAATTTTGAGAGATGCAAGCCGTTTGCGTATTATTCTATATGCATAAAACATGATCCATGTTCGATAGAGAATAATCAATTTAAGCACATTTCCTCTTGGTGCGCTCAATTTATGTATTAAATATGAATGTAGCATCTATAGTAAGGTGCAATATTCAACTTAATTGGCTTAATTGCAGTAAATCAAACAAATACCCCTCCATTATATCATCATACATTGATTAAACACTACAGTTTATAGATTATGTTTATACCCAATGCCAGACACGATAAAATCTTCCGTGTATCTGTTTCGATATGAACTATGATCTAAATTTACGTAAACTTAATTTAGTTAAATAAAACAAGTGATTTTAACAATATTTTCTTATTTATTTATATCAAAATTGATTTCGATTTACATTTGTTGTTAATATCTATTGTATTTACATTATGAAAATTATTTTTTCAATAGATCTTTCATAAGCACGGTTCTTCTTACAGCATTGCTGTAACCTTCTTTAAAAATATAAGTTATATCGGTCCTAAACAACTGCATTTTATCCTTTAAATTCTGCTTTTCTTGTTCTGCCATTGAAATTTTCTCTGAACTAACGATTCCCAGTTCTTTTTCTTTGGCTTGTTTTGCTTTCAACTTTTCTTGTCCAGCTTGTTGAAAGGCACGGAAAAAGTTTCGACATTTCTGAAATATTTAATTTATTAATACTTGATCAAATTCATAAAATGAAGCGATTGCACGTTGTATTTAATTTATGTATGAAAAAACGATTCAATATATTCCTACAATTTCTCGACTTATATTATGATTCATATACACTATTTGCCACAAGTGAATAGTTTGAGGCTTTTTTTCAATGCATAATTACAAACATTTTGATAAATCCACATTATACAGAGTAAAGAATTACAACTTTCAATCTTTTTATAATTCTTGGCGAGAAATGAAATTTTCGAAAAAGTTAAATGAATACTAAAAGAATAATAAAATCATTATCGTGCATGATACATTAATTTTATATTCTTGTTTGAACGAATAAATCTTTAGAGATATGAAGTAAATTGAGTGAAGTAACGCGTTACTATAAGCTGAGCGTTTGCGTCATTAAGCGTTTGAGATGTCGGGAATTTTGATGCATCATCCCAGGATACAATGTACGTGTAATGTATACAAGAGAAAAATCGGCAGAAGCTATTTGGGAAGCAGTTTTTCATTGTACTGCCTTATTGAAGCGAGATAGTACTCGATGGCCAGCGGCTGAGTATCCGGTTCTCAGCTATACGGGGACAAGCGACTCAAGGTGTCCGTCGAGCGTCATTAATCCAGACTAGAGAGAGAACAAAAGCAGGCCATAAATCCCGATGACTAGATACTTTGGCTCGATTCGATCTTGGAATCTCATGTTGGGAATTTAGCGAAGACACCGCCCCAGCTATTAGGAAGCCGGGTCGCGTGGCGCACTTATTGCGGAACGAGCGGCAACATCCGGAAGCGCGTCAGCGTCTTTGTCTGCTCCATAAAACGAATTAACTCGATCATTGGCGTCTTCTTACGGTAGCATCGATAATCGACTTGCGTATACTTGGGCAAAAGCTCGGTGCGGCGGGCTAGCGCGGTGGTGCGGGGGGGCATCAGTCGAGACAGAGAGAGAGAGCGCGTAATGGGCGCCGATGTAAGTAGAAGCAAACTTGGGCTCGCTGCGCGCCAACTCAGGGAGGAGGGGCTTTGAGAAGAGCTTGCAATAGGGGTATTATATTCCCCCTTGGAGAGGTCGGGCTATCATAATATAAATTAGCTCATATGGGCTCGTTCTCTCTCTCTCTCTCGCTCTTGCGCACTCACTCCCTCTCCCTCTAGCTGCACGATAACGCGCATCCCCTCTGTGTAAAGCGTTGCACCGTAAGGGATCTGGCTCGTGGCCTCGAGTACCTCGGGATTCACTATTCATACACGCGACAATTAGATAGGCATTACTCGACGCTGTTTCCCAGTCCCTACTCCGCATAGTTGGCTCTATGTGCTTGCATGCATACGCGTACACATGTACACGCGCTTACTAAACTACTGCACATACAAGAGGCTTGGGTATATATAAGTAAAGCGAGCGAAAGAGAGTAGTGGAAGCGCTGCTGCTGCTGCTGCTGCTGCTGCTGCCTCTACTGCTTGAGTCAACCCCTAAGCTAGTGCAAACACGTTTTAATAGAGATTCGCTTGAGCGGTTATAATAGCCTTGCGGATACGAAGCAGCTTCGCCTCATTCACCCCATCTCGCTGCTACGACGCACATATGCCTGTGTGTGCGTGCAATATGTGCAGTATATACACACACGCGTCAGCGAGCTCTCCTTATAAATGTACTCTTTTTATTCTGCCAACGACCAAGACCGAATAATGAGCTCCCGCCATTTAGTTAGGCTGGTTACATTCTCGCAAATAAGAGACCTGGCGAGCTCCTCTCGCGACGATGACTAGCTTCTTTGTGCGCGCCCACTCCGCCAACCCGTGACAAAACTGATAGTGCCTGCTTTTGTCCGCTTTTCCCGCCGCTACTATCTCCGAGCCAGTCTCCTTATTTTCGTATTCATCGATAGCTGCCAAGGGCTTTGACTTTTTCCTTTGCTTAAGTGAAAATGCCTGTAGTATTTAAACTTTTTTCTTCTTCTGTGTAAAAAGAGCTTTTTATACCTGCGGATGTCACGGTGCTGATAATTTTTCTTTCATTGGCTCGTGATGAGTTTCGAGCATTCGCGTTTGAAAAAAAGGTAAGGCGAGACTCGCACTTATGAATCCTATCGCTTTCGCGTGTACTAAAGAATAGAGTTTTGAATTAGTATTAAGAAAAATAAGCACCCCCCGAGCGCGTGGATGACAAAAAATGTATCGCCCAAACTAATCTTGAAGAAATTCTACACTAGTTTCGTAGCCAATGATTATCGATGAAAGTTCAAATAGGATTTTATGGTCGAATGAACATTTAGTCGTTTGTGGCACACACATATCACTATGACAAAAGTCAATAAAAAAGTTAAGATTGAATTTTACCTAACTTCATTCTTGATTTAAAGCTTTTACTCTGATAAAATATCTGATAAGATATAATAAACGGGAGTTTATTTGAAATGGTTTCGATTTCACGAATGAACTATTCATCACGTACCTTTTCAGCAGTTGGTTCAATTTGCACTGGATTAAGTGTTCTTAAATGACTCGGAACATTATCGCTCGATTGAGAAGCTTGCGAAGCAGATCCAGACTTAGATGCACCGGATTTTGATCCACTTTCCATTGATTTTTGGGCTGACGGATTTTGGTTCGTTGGTTCGCCACTGGCAATGGCAGCTCGCTGCAATCTTGTAACTTCCAATTCTTGAATAACAATCTGTTTGACAGCGTGAGACAATGATTTGTGAGAATTGCACTGAGGGAATACGCCTATGTCCCATATATTTCTAAAATAATGTAAAGTATTTTAGTACACATACAAGAAATTCGATATTTAAAAAAATGCCCAGAAAATACTCACGGATCAAGATAATATTGGTAACCACCTTCAGGTTTTTTTATTTGAGTAAATGTAAGACCGAAATCCAACATTGTATCAACCAAACGCCTCAGTTCTTCTTTTTCTTTATTTGAGTAAAGCTGCGCATTCACGGAACGTAGTTGAGGACACAGTAGGTCTGGCAGATACGGCAAAACCTCTGTTACAAGTGCATTTTTGTCGAGTTTACTTTTCTTTTTTATCAATGAAAGTACAGCTTGATTTCGTTCAATTTTTTGATTAACCTGAAAATTATATTTTAGCATGAGTATTTTCAATCTCATCTGAAGTAACTACTTATATCGTTACGTGATCATTTTTCAACAAATAGTCTTCGTTTTTTAAACGTGGCAATGATTTACTCAGTTAAGTTGCATTAACAATTTTATAAAAAAAGTCTCTGATCAGAAATTGAAGGTATATTCAGTGATATCACGGCGTCTTTATCTTAAACTAACGAGTCTTTTCAGGGTTCTCTGAATGAGATGAGAAAATGGACCGTCAAGTTAGTTAAAAATCACGAGAAGAAGCCTTGACGAGGCGTGTGTGAATGTGTGCGTCGAAATAAAAGTCGAGGCCAAAATGATAAAAAAGCGGTTTCGAGTAAGAAAAGGGCCCTGCATTTGAAACGAATACGGGCATGAAAAATGCAAAAGTCAACGATTAATCTTCGTTGAGTTACAAGGGTGCGATTTAAACGCTTTTATTTTCAACCTCGTTCTCTAAATTCTGTCATAAGACGCAAAGACTGCACCAAAAATGTAAAATGAGTTGATTCAAGCTTATAACGTAGATACGGAGCTGCAATATTTCAATAAAGCTCGCTACACGCGCACATTCTCTGCTACTTACACAAGTGCACGATGCTAAAATAAACAATCCTGCTGTGTAAGCTGATGAAAAGGCAGTGTAAACACGAGTGAAGCGAGCTCTTCACGAAAAAACCGTCGTATAACTTTTTCATTCGTGAAGCTAATGCATTTTTTGTTAGTTTACTCATGCACTCGTAGTCCAATATAAAGGACATTGACGGATCGCGAAATGAATAAGACTCAGTAATTTTAAAGCTCTGGCAGGCTTTATTATGAAAAAATTTTCAGGGTTGGGTATCAAGTCTTTAAAAATGTGCAGAAGTTTACATTCAATATTAACGCGCTATTACCTACGATTTTGTAATTTTTGTTCAATTTTAAGTGACGGAAAGCATACAATTATCATTTAATCACTCATTCTATTTTGAATAAAAAAGGGCCAAGAAATGATCGTTGTAAGACTTAAAGTCACAATTGAATCATTGATTGTCGAAAGTTCTTAATTTTATTTTACACATTGTACTGAATCAGTTTACTGAAAACAAAGCACATTTGGCCCAATTGTCAATGAACGGTTCGACATTTTGTACAGATCGAAAAATCTTTCCAGGAATTTCTAAGAAAAGAGGGTTCTCAGACTAGTTAATATCGTTATGCACAAACAAAAAACGTTACCGAAAATTCTTTCCCTCGAATATTCCCCAATGAATAGAAGAACTTAGACGTTCGAGACATGGCAAGGGTGAACGAATGCGACGATCATTAAGCCGCGGAAGGACTCCAACGTAGCCGCAGTAGGCTACGCGCGATCTGTTAGTGCGAGAACATACGAAAAGGTTTCTGATGCCACACTCACTGCGATGAATAATTCAGTCTCTCATTAGGGCGATAAAAACAAGCCGACGAATAGCCCGTCTGTGTAACCTCGGCCAAGGGAGGCACAGGCGTACACTCGCAGCTATATAGAATGACACGGCAGACGAGATTCGTCTAATTTTTTGTATCGCTCAAGCCTCGCTTGGAAATACACGTGGCAGGGAAAACCTTCCACGCGTAAAAGTAGCGCGCGAATGCGAGCTCGGTGCAATTATTTGTGAAATTAGCCTACACGAGCTATAACGCATACAGCCGCGCGCAGCCTCTTCACGCGTGATTATGCGCGGGGGCGAGGGGGGAAGAGAATAGCACAAGTACCACTAGATACAGAGTACCTGAATCTGCGTTCTACGTCTACGTGTATATAATAGAACGAGCGCAAACACACGGGGCGCACTCAGCAGGCTTAGAGTCGGGCACTCGCTGCTGCTGTGCTCTGTTTCGTTTTCGAATATTATTATCAGGCAGCAGTCTCATTCCTTAAAAGCCTTCCTCTCTCTCTCGCTCTCGTTCCCTCTTCTCAGCCATCACTGTGGATAATTAGTGCAATGCGCTTGGCTAGCATTAATTATTAGTCTTTCTAATTAGCGCGCTCTGATAAATCAAAAAGCACGTCCACGTCGCGTTGTTTCGTTAGCGTTAACCCGCGCAAACTGCTGCTACTGCTGCTGCGACTGTTGTTACTATTGTTACGGACCCATTAACATTATTGCGCTTTGCTCGCTTGCAGCTGTAGCAACTTTGGCCATAAATAACGTGTGTCGCGACTCGCCCGCGCGCTTTAACCCTGCCCCTGTCACTGCCCCTACTACTGTACCATTACTTATACTCTTACACTCTCTGAAATGGCATAAATTGCTGCCTTTTTAAACTTTACACTTTTTAGACCGTTGTTTCTTTTATCATACCTCGAATGTGGTTGATGGAAAAGAAATCTTGGGCATCTGAGGGCTCGCTAAACCCAAATGCCACGCAATGAACGCAAAATTCGTGTATGGCATCAGCATCCAACTCTGATGTTCCATAACTGCTCTATTCATGATGTCATAGTATTCGAACCAATCCAAAGATTTTGATACAGTTGAGAGCTTACTTCTACAGTTGTTTGGATAGTTGTGAAATATACCCTGCGCCAATCTTTCGGACTCGCCTAGAATGTAGATATTTTACTCGTTTTATATCTCTGATTGGTTTACTTTTTTAACCCTTTAACGCCCGAAGTGACCATTTTTGGACAACATTTATAGCGATGAATTACACCGACTAAAAATTGTTTAAAAAAACTTTTCAGACATCATTTCTCACGTAAAATTTAATGTACTTTTGGAATCCGGGGTCAAAATGAAAAAAAAATTATTCAATAAAAAGTTATAAACAATTTTGTAAAAAAAAACATGAAATTTCGAGAAAAAAATCTTGTTCAACTCAAATTTCAACACGGAAAGAAGGTTCCCTCGTGGGTCTCACGCATATAAATTTGATCAATAGCATGTATATTTTATTGTAAAACAGTTATAATGACGAAATTCAAAATGGCGATCATAAATTCGGCTCTCGAAGACCTGTATGTCATAAAATGATTTCGACAATTTTTAACTCGATAACCATCAACTTTACGAGAAAAAGTTGTAGAATAAAGAGTGTTTATAATTGATCAAAGAACATGCCTGAATTTTTTCAGAATTTTTGGAGCGATTTTTGGATTTCTGGATAACACCATTTCTTCAAAAATCCAAAAATCGTTCCAAAAAATTCTGAAAAAAATCAGGCGTGTTCTTTAATCAATTATAAACCCTTTTTGTTCTATAACTTTTTCTCGTAAAGTTGATGGTTATTGAGTTAAAAATTCTTGAACTTTCGGTTTTATTTTTGATTTTTGATTTTGGCTGAGAACGTTCGGTGTAATTCATCGCTATAAATGTTGTCCAAAAATGGTCACTTCGGGCGTTAAAGGGTTAATGTAAATTTTATGTTTAAAAAAAAAGTATAATTATCATACCTTGATGTACAATCGTCATGACTTTTTTCGCTCTTTCGGAATCGGGTAGAGATCCGCGTCGATCTGTTGGTATACGCATTAGTTCTTTCCAACAATCGAACAAACCCTTACGTGTTTCTTTGAGGCCAAGAGTAAGATCTTTGAGCATATTCGATCTACCTCCTGTGTACTGTAATATACCGAGACAAGCTCTAATATCGCAACCCGATTTATGGACCAACTCCAATAATAATCTTCCATCGATACTTAAACCTTCTTTGCGTACGATTTCGCTCAAGCGTTCAACTAAATTTGATGAACTTATCTCAGGTACATTTAACACTAAGGCCATTTGTCTCAACGGTCTGTAATAAAAAAAAATTATTATTAATGGTAATGCTTTTATTCAGGCTAGATGAAAATATTAATTAATACCTCAAAGATGGTGCATATAAATCATTGCAAATACAAATAATCGGTCGTTTGCATCCAAGGTTATTTTTAACAACTTTATCTTTTTTTCCTTTTGGAGCCAATTTACCATGAATAAATTTTAAAAGTAACTCTATTGAAGCTGCAGGAGCCCCATCAATTTCATCCAGTACTAAGCAGTTTGGTCTTTTTTCCTCATCAATGACAGCTTTCATTTGAGTTGATGAGAGCAAAGCTTCCCTATTAATTGTAATTTTTACTAATATAAAAGGGAAAAATCTGAGAATAATTTATGCAAAATTATTTACCTGAATGCTTCAGGACCTCTGTCATCACTAGCATTTAATTCAACTATACTGTATCCAGCATGCCTTGCTGATATATGAGCTAATGTAGTTTTACCTAATCCAGGAGGCCCAGTAAGTAGAGCTATTCTCTGAGTTGGAAAACCGTTTTTATCTAGATCAGGAACAAGATCTTCTTTTTTAAATTTATTTTTAAATTTGGTAACAGGTGCTGGTTTATTTGGACGTATTATAGTATCTTTATCAAAAACAACTTTGTCCCATAATTTCAGCCAATAAAGCAATGATCTATTGACAGATTCATCTGATAGTAGCTCCAAGTATCGTGTTGGTTTATATTTATCCACCCATAATTGATTACTAGAATTTTCTTTGCGAGCAGAAACTAATGGTTTTAATAATGCTTTTTCTCTATTTTTTTCTAACTATAAAAAAAAAAAAAATTAGTTAAATGAACATACACATATTAATTGTGTTTTGCTTCAAGAAAATACTTACAATATTTTCTGCTTCTTCCTTCAACTGAGAGAATGATTTAAACAAATTTTTTGATTTTGAACGATCAACTTTAATAGATTGCATGCTTCGATCACAGACTTTCACATAAAATCGTTCTCCATCAGTATAACGGGTGACTGCAACAAAATTATGCATAGGAACTCTTTTTGTTATAGAGTTTACTTTTCTGAAAATAGTAAAATAATATCAAGTTAATGATTAATATTTTGTTAAATATAACTCAATGTCACTTCTTACTTTTTTCTTGATGTATTTCCACCATTTTTTGAGTCTTTCCTATGTAAGTTATTTCTTCTTTCAAGAATTAATTTCATTACTTCTTCAGGTTGGTCCCATCGTGGTTTTTTTCTATCGTGTGAACCATAAATATCTGTAAAACATTGAGCAGTGAATACATTTCTATAATAATAAAATATTATACATAACTTTCAATATTTGTTTACCACTATCCAAATCAATAATTCCCTTTGATGTTGATGGGATATCGCATTCAATTTGATTAATAGATCTCTTTTTTGAATTGTCAAAAGATGTAGATGCATTGGATGAACTACCGATAACAACAGTGGTAGATTGTGAACCATTACTTTTAGTTCCAAATAAATTTTTTACCACAGGATCAAAAGATGTAGATGCATTGGATGAACTACCGTTAACCACAGTGGTAGATTGTAAACCATTACTTTTAGTTCCAAATAAATTTTTTACCACAGGATCTTTAGTACCATTATGATTATTAGTTGATCCTTGTTGCGTCAACTGTGTTGACCCTTGTTGTGAATCAATTGTCACATTTTTTCCTGTAGTTACTGTTTGGCTTTTTTGATTTTGTATTTGTTGATTAATTTCCGATTGTGGTGTAGATTGAGTTGTTGATTTTTTCGCTTCAGCTTCTGAAAGAATTTAATTTTCGATTTTAGGAAAACAAAATTTGACATTTGAAGTTTCAATATCGTACAGGTTAGAATACCAATGTTTACCTTCGATTTCTCGTAGTACTTCGAGTTCTTCAGCATACATCAACTCATATTCATCTTCTGGATTAGGAAATTCATCCATGATGAATTATAAAAAATTACTATTATTCTTACACCTTGCACTATTTTCACAAACTAGACTAGAACGTTAAGTTCGCACGTTTCAACAGGTTTGTTTTTCATTACTTTCCCGCGAATTCTGCTATTTGGCCGGCGAATGCTTGCAACTGCAGATCTCATGTGTCTCTATACTAATTATACCAATACATAGTATACCATGTAATTATGACATATATATTTGTAAAAATTATTGACAATAGTCATTGATGTTTTTTGCTCAAGAGAATTGAAAACAGATGCAAATTTTTAAAAAATTTTATTATCAACAATAAAAGATTAAATATAAAATGAATAATTTAATTTACAATTTAAGTATCATGTTCAAAAATAACGGAAGCATCGAAGATTTTACCAAAGTGAAGGTGAAGCATAATCTTCTCTTTGACGTTCAATACCATTTATGACTCGGTAATATTGTTGACTAAAAAGTGCTGAACTAGCTAAACTCAAGATTTACTTATGTCGTTTTATGGTATTAAATTCTTTCTCAGTGCATTTTGCACACCATAAAATAATTTGTTAATATCTCATTTTTAAATTATAATGCATCATTGATAACAAAATGTTTACCTGTTAGAAATTAGATATGAGATACAAAATGTTATCGATATCATGGCAAGCGTGGCAAAAACACTGCGAGCCGAGCAACGCAGCATGGAAGTCATGCACGCGACACACGTACATAAAACAAAAACGAACGCAGCTCTCAGTACTCACTAAAATTACTAACAAAAATTTAACGTAAATTACTAACAAAAATTTGAAGTGATTTTGAATCCTGGTTTCAAAATATTCTTGGGTGAAAGAGGAGCCTAGCAATGTGCCTCTTATTGTATTGGAAATAATCCTGAAATGATTTATTATCGTATTTATTTATATATAACTTGTAATACAATAAACTTGAAAGAGAATTTAACGATGAACTGCAAATTGAATTTGCATTTCGACTGTGAAAGAGTCGAAAAAAAATTACAGAAAAGTTCGACATCGATATTAGGCTCATAATGATGAAAGTTATGCATGTGAAATATGCGGGAAGAATTTTAAACGAAAGAGTCACTTGAATAGGCACTAATCAATCGGCGCATCAAAATATCATCTACTTAGATAATACACACGGCAAGGCATTTTCACGAAGGTTTTATCTAAAAATCCATGTTGATTTCAGGCACAATGTTACCACAAATGTACGTAATATTTGCGGAAAAACATTCACTCGAAAGGGTAGTCTCAATGCTCACATCGCCTCGGTGCATGAAGGTACATTGTTGTGAAAAATAGAAATGCATTAAAAGAAAAATATGTAAATATTCTTTAAAAACATATAATCATTAATAACAAAGAATCGTATTTATTGATTCTACGCAATCAAAAATGGATTGACAGCGAGTTTTGATTTTTATTATTTCCGTACGCTAAAAACATGGTTCTCTGTCCGGAAATAGATAAGATACGTTGATGAACTCCTTTCTTGTATAAATCGTAAACGGATTTTATGACCCACGAATATTAGAGACTACTATATTTTCCAAAAAAGTAAACAAAAATACATGCAATATTACTGAAAGATTCATGTTTTTTTCTTTATACTTTATCTTTACAAACTTGAATGAGAACCATTTCTACTAGTGAAATAAATATTAGAATCATTAAGGAACAAGTTTTGCTTTAAATTAATGAAATTAAAACACATTTAAAATGTTTCAAATTTATTATATGTTATTATTTATGTTGTATTACAATAATACGTAGTATTTACAATACGATAAGATCTTGTAGAGTTCTAGAAAAATGATCTTGAATTACGGACAAATTCTCGCCAAAGAAAGAAAATGTCTTTCGAAAACAGGCTACTTTTCGCTTGTTGATATTTTTATATATTTGCGCCTGCAAATTTTATAGATACAAGATAACAGATCGTACTTATCTTAATTACATTCTCATCATAATTATAATTAATCAAAATTTTTCACGATTCTTTTATTTGAATTACCGACGAGTCACAGCATTGGTTGGCTTATCTAAGACAACACCTTAACTCGAACTAACTACATCAATTCACATTTCGCAAAAGCTATGCAAATACTATACAATGCGAAATAAATGTGGTCCATGAACCAAGAATCTATCAATATTTCTATAATACTGCATTTAGCCTATATAGTGACTCGAACGGCTTTTCGTGTTACGTACATTAAATATATATTTTTATATATAAATTGACACAAAAATTAATGGAAATTGGTAAAATTCCAAAGTCCTTCCGTATAACGTGCTCCTTTTTTCGATTAACAAACTGACATTCACATTAAATATGCTATTTCATTATATGCATACAAACCATATATCATTTTTTTATTATTAAGTTTAACTTTATACATTGCAAACCAGCAAACTCGATAAAACTATAATTATAACTAATGACAATATCGCGACTGTGTCTTTGCAAACTACAAAATACCGCCAGAAGAGTCTTGCATCAATTAAAATTTCCACGATGTGATGTTTTAATTGCTTTGTTTCAATTATTATTTTATGCGATGTACTACACAATGAGTGCATGAAAAGATTCGGTTGAACGCACTGCATCATACATTTTATTGAGATTCAGAGGATTTAAATGAACAAAACTGATAAAACATGAATATATTACGACACAACACGAATATTTTTATAGACGTGAGTTATGATTTGTAAGAAAAAATACCTGATCGGATCCGGCCAGACCACAGCATTTCTTTTATACGACATGCACAAAAATTGGTAGAAAAAACTCGGAACTGTTCAAGATAAACAATAAAAAAATTCATTTACAAATGAACATGACAAAAATAAACAAAAAAAACATACAATAATAAATATACAATACGAAATATAACAATGCTTAAATGCTTATGCAAAATCGAAGGCTACGTTCGAGTCGAGCATTCGCATGATCGATGATAGTAAACTATATGACTAGAAATGATTGCTCTAACTCGCGAAGGGCAATAGCTTTTGGTGAATATTAAACTTAGACTTCGGTAGTTCGTCCATAAGGCGGATTGTTAGGCGCGATATTGGTACCACTAGCTACGACTATCGTTGTGCCCGGTTCTTCGCTGTGAGAAAGTTTACGCTCCCGTTTATTGAAGAGACCCCCAAGAAACGATGGTGGCTGTTGCTGTTGCTGTTGCTGTTGCTGTGGTTGTTGTTGTTGTAGTTGCTGTGGATGCGTTTGCTGCTGTTGTTGCTGAAGATGATGCATATTAATGATACCACCCTTGGCTACTGCCAATCCTGGCTGTGCTACTGTGACCATTGCTTTAGCACCTTGACTCATTGAACTGGCTGACGTCGATTGAAACGAAATTGACATACCACTGTCCAATGATCCAACACTACCTCTCCGTTGAGGTTTCTCTCCAGCAACTAAAAATATGAAATTTTTAAACATTATACAATTACGTCATGGGTAAAGGATTATTTTTGTACACGAAACAAAAATGTTAACTTACATTGCTCATGAATATCTAGTAAGGAGTTGCTGAGTGCCGATCGTTTGAGCTGTGAATCAGTTTCGATAACGTCACTGCGTTCAGAACAAGAACCAGGACACGGACAAACTTCGACGTCAGCTACACCAGAGTCACGATTTTCGGCGCTGCTTCGGGCTCCTCTGCTGCTCTTTTGTCTCTCCAACTCGCTTTCGATTCGCAATGTTTCCATTTCGTCCATTTCGCTAATAGATTCTCTCAGGTCTTCCACAAATTTGCAGCGGTCGTGCTCGTTTCGAGCATTAAATGTGACTAGTACCTTATTGTCTACGCGTTGTGACAGTCTAATTCCGTATGGATAATCTGAAAGAAAATTTAGAAAAATTTAATTATTTTTAGAAGCAAGAATTTATTAAAGGGAAAAAAGGAAGTTATTGACACTTACGAGAAACTTCGAAAAGGGTAACGACCATGCCACAGAGTGGGAAACTCTGTCTGAACGTGTAGGTGACGCTGCTCTTCTTCTTACTAAGAATCTTCGTAACAACAAGAAGATCGTTGAAAAGGAATACCTCACGTTGGTGTACACCCGGTCGTTCCTTTTTATTAATGTCGGGTATTTCGTAAAGCCTGCAGTAGCACACAAGGCGTCGATGAGGCAGAGCCATGTTGGGCTTTTTACCGACAATAGTAGCCTGAACTTTCATGACCTGGGTGACGTGATCGGAGCCAGGCTTGAACTCGTTGGCCTTGACGCGCTCGTAAATGCCAACGAGAATGTCGCGGTCGATATCTCCGCAGTCGTCGATACCTCGCAGATTCTTAATGAAGTCGTCGAGACGCATTCGGCGCTCGGGCTTGAGGTTCGGTGTGTGAAGATCGGTGTTGAGCATGATGATGGCAAAAGCAAGGACAAAAATAGTATCCGGTGAGCGTAGTCGCGACACGACTTCGGGATTGCATTGGCAGTAGCGCTGACTGAAAACTTCCATGAGCCGCTCGATCTTCTGAGCTTCGCCGGGCATGCGGAAGTAGCCTTGGAATTTGCGCAGCGCCACGTCCACCTGCATGCCGGCGAGGTCGAGCTCGTGCGAGAAGCACTCGAGCACGGCCATATTGAAGGGATTCTGCAGGTTGCCCAAGTACTCGCCGATCATTTGCTTCGACAGACCCTTGCGACTAATGAGGAAGCGTGCCACGCCCTGGGGTGAGTTCTCGAGGAAGCCGCGTCGAATGAGGTAGTTGATGCCGCGCTCGGGCTTCTTGTTGAAGAGATTCAGGCCCACGCGGTACTGCCGCTTTCTTACGGTTTCCGAGACCTTGTAGCTGGTTTGAACTATCACCTCGCCGTGCTCCATCATTGGTAGTTGATAAGTCGATGCGTGCGTGTGACTGCCCATATCTTTGACACTGGTGAGAATAGCGTTACCATCGTTCGCGTGCGCTAGCTCCTGATGTTCTGGCGAACTCGACTGTAATTATAAAAGCATCGATGAGTAAAGGCTTGCTCCATTAGTCCAATCGGCGTCTTATCAGTTAAGATTGTCGTGGAAAAACTTACCATTGGCTTGTGCTTCCAGACGGGGGACGCCCGTTGCGGGTCGCCCTCGGAGCTCTCGCAGTTGGTGGAATCGCTACCGGAGCTCTGCACGGAGCTGAGACTGCCGTTCTCGACGCTCTTGCTGAGTCCGTTGTGGTGAGGTCGTGGATCGCCCAGGATCGACCGCGAATTGATGGAGGAAGTGCGCTTGGGCACCTCGGGCGGTACCTTCTTGCTGCTGCCGGAGCAAGAACCCGTGGAGGCGCGTCCCACCGAGGTGCGGCCGCTCGAGGCGCTGCTCAGCTGCGACGTGCTGCTCGACCAGTTTTGCTGCTGCAGCGCTTGCTGAGCCAGTGGCACCGTCGAGGGCGACGTGCACGGCGGAGTCGCTCGGTGCGCTTCTCGGGGTGGTGTGTCCTGACGCAGACCACAGAGAGCGTCCTGTTTTCGCGAAAGTAATTTGATTCTTTATTACGCAATTCACTCGTAGTGTTTCAAGTTCAATTCATTTCCAATTATATCAAAATTTATAAGAAAACGTATTAATGATAAAAATTATCTCTACTCGAATAAATCGTTAGAAGAGATATGAAGTGTCTGATCGTTACCTGAGGATTGTAGTAGTACATGCTAGAATTGGCGCTTTCCTGCGAGCTCGATTCCCAGCAAGGACTCGGCGGAGCTTGTTGCTGTTGGCGTCCCGAAGGGCTCGGCGTGTGTCTGACGTGGTTCACCAGTTGATGATGAACAGTTGCGTGATTGGTCAACTGATTCTGCAAGAAGTTCATAGCGAACGTTAGATATCGCAAAGTCGATCGTCGATCGTCGAGTCACGAGCACACGGTCGAAAGCTTACCTGGTGATGAACGGCTGGGATTTGGGTATCGCAGCGGCCGCTCTGGCTTCTGGGCATCGCGTGGGACGAGCCGTCGACGTGGACGATCCCACCGGTGTGACGTCTCTCCCTGAGCGACATGCTTCTCGTTGGCCCGGCTCTGTTGACCGGCGAATGATGCGGCTGCTGCGATTGCACGTAAACCTGACTACTGTGCTGGTAACGCTGCTGCTGCTCGTGCTGCAATTGAGGATGCTGCTGCTGCAGTTGCTGCTGGTGATGATGTATCTGCTGTTGCTGCTGCTCCTCCTGCATTTTGCGGCTCAGTCTCTTCTCGGCCTTGGCCATGGCCGTGATGGCGGCGAACTTCTTCAGCAGGGTGTACCGTCTGAAGGCCCGCTGAATCGTGAGCGCGGCGTTGCGCGCCTTCACGCCGCCGTACTTTCGCTCCAACATCTCGATCTGTTTGTCGAGCAAGTCTTGCGATAACTCGTACCTGTAAAAATGCACACAAGAACACACATTTTAATTCGGTCAGCTTTGGATTCACACGCAGGAGCGATCTTAGGCAATGCTTCGGAGTCGATATTCCGTCGATCGTGATCGATTAGCCAATATGCACTCGTTTATTGAACGCGTACCCAAATAAAAAATTAAGCTTGCGCGTGAGCGAAGCTACGTCAAAATCGAAGGACTTAATACGCTTCATGATTTGCTTTATTTATTTGTGTGCTATATGTAAAATATGCTGCGGCGGCGGCTATTTTTATACGAATTATCGAAACGATTTTACGTGCGGTCATCGGTTTTGAAAAATCATCGATCAAAAGACCAAGAGAGACTAGCTGCCATATGCCTTGTCGAAGCTATCAGCTATTAAGACGAGCGCAAGCGGGATTGTTGTCATTGCTTCTTGTACAGAGCGTGTAAGCTATTATACACGCACGCACACATACGTATACGTGCGCTGTGCGTATAAGCCGAGCCGTTTCAACATGATAGCGGACTTTGATCGGCGCTTCATCGCGTACTTTACGAAACTCTCCTCTCTCTCTCTCTCTATAAACAGCCGCGCGCGCATTACATATTCTACACGGCGACCGCGACGCACGCACGCTTATACATAATAGGCGATTTTGTTTAGACACACACACAGAGATACACGCGACTGTACACAGGTATGTATAAGTATGTACAGCGAGGCAAAGCGAGCTGCTGCTCTATGTTATTTACCCGACTTGCGCAACGACCCAATTACGATGGCTAATCATCCTAGGACTGTCGCAATGGGACTCGACGTTTTTGCAAATCCGATGGCTAGTCATGAAGAGTATTTTACATGTACGAGAGAAAAGTTGGCTCGAATAGAGAAAGGAGTTTTCTATGATATTATTATATTATACTTACGCCGCTTGAAGTCTGCATCGCTTGGTGACGTCGCCGTTGCGCACCGAGGACTTTTTGTGGCAGGACTGCTGATAGGGCGACTGCGGGCCCAGCTGCTGGTGATGATGATGCGGCCCCCCGTAGGCCTGGACGACGCCGCCGCCGCCGACGCCGTAGGCCTGGGGCTCGACCGAGGCGGCCACGCTCGCCCCCACCACGCTCGACGGCACGTAGCTCGTCGGGTGCTGGACGTACTGCTGGTGGTGCTGCGGCTGCACCCCCGGATACGGCGTGTGCGCGTAGTTGCTCTGGCTGTACATGTACTGGCCCGTCATGTACGACGACGACAGGGCGGGCTGGCCCGTGGACGAGTACAGGCCGCTGCCTTTGCTACCCGGCCCCAGTCTGTCCATCTTTTGTGGAAAGCTAAAACATGAAAAATACGGTCGATCGTTAGTCAAAAGTGCAATTACGATATTCAACATTTTTTTTTATACTAAAAAGTACATTTGTATATCGATGCTGCGCGTATCGTTACTCGTTTACAAATTGCTATTAGCTGGGGTAATCTTATCGTGGGACTTGTGGTAGGTAGGCTCGTCATCGGCCATTAGACCGTGCAATTAATGACAATTGGCAGCGAATCTGTGCACGCCTACTTTTGTATTATCGTGAAGCATAACGCACGATTCGATACAAACGAACGGCGATGCACCTCGCTCTCGGGGTCCTGTATACACTGCTGCCCATATTATATGCCTCGGACGTCGTGTGCGATCGCTCGGGGATTTTTCGTCTCCTTCTTTGTAAGGCCTACTGCGCGCGTATATTCGCACTAATGATGGGTTTGCGGCTTTGGTATCATTACGCAGACTATATACACGCGTATTACTATATAGCCAAGGCATATGCCTCGCTTTTTTCATTTCTTTTTCCAGCTGCATCTCACGAAAACTTATATTTTTTATGGCAACGAGTTTGTCGAGTTCGGCCTCTCTCTCTGCGCGCCCTTTTTCGCTCGGCAAGTAGGACGTCGATTTTTGGCGCGCGAACTAATGATATCACGAGTATTTAGGACTTGCACCGTGCAAATATTGTATTATTTAGTACAAGTCAAATATGTGAGCGACTGAAAGCTCGTGTGTTTTATATTCAATGCCAGTCTTGCTTGGACGCGCGCCGGTACGCTTTGATCTGTTATACGGCGCGTGTATACACAGATCTCAATTGAAAAGGCAAGCAATCTTTATAATATCAGTTTTGGTGTCGAGCGGCGATTTCGTTGATTACTCTCGAGCTCAAAGAAAACAATTACCTATGCCTACACACGTATAGGAGTTGAACTTTCGATTGGAAAGAGTACGCGAGTCCGTGAAACGAGACAACTGCTGCCACGCGAATATCGGTCATCGCCGTGGCAAAGTCCGAACGTTCGCACGATTCTATATAGACAATTCGCGCCATATATTTTTGAATTTCGCCAGAATGACGCGAGCTTAAATCCGCGCATGAATGCATACCGAAATCTCCCGTGTAATCCTGAGTCAATGGCGAGGTGACGATCTCGCCGATCAGTTAAAACTTCGGAAGGTCGAAACGCATGACTGACTCGAATCGTTGTGTTTTCGTTTCCTCCAGTCGCCGTTTCCAAGCTTTGACTTATTGGCGATGATTCGACTGGAATCGACCGTTCGGAGTATTTATCGTATGCACCTGGAAGAGCTCGCGGTGTACCAATAGCAAGAAAGCAACAGCGAAACGTGTACAGTCTTTCTCAATGGAACAAAAGACAAGCATCATGTGAAGGAGCGAATCGCGACTGCATTGCCTCACGCGGCAGCGCAGTTTATCGGTTGCGTCGCATGCAGCGTCGTCCGTAAGAATTGCGCCTGCGGCGCCCCGATGCAATAATATAATATCGCGTGTCGAGATGGTCGATCGTTGCATTTTAAATGCATGCTCAAGACGTAATTGTCGCGTAAGCGGCAACGAATAGAATACGTGCGCCAAAGTGCCACGAGAACTTTTCAATAGATTATACACGTAATCGATCTTGTACGGCTATACAGAGCTCCGACCTCTTCGTCTCGTTTCTCGCGTGATAGCGCATACATATGTGTATGTGTATAAGTAAGATGCACGAGTGTAAAAATGCTAATAAGTGCCGCTTGAAGAATAATATCATTTGAGCGACACCTCGAAACGAGGGAAAAATAACAGGAGCAGCGAAACAATCAAAGTCGTTAGTGAGATTCTCTGTTATTTTCGATCCTTCGCTCGAGATATATCTCGTTGCGCGGAAAGTGAGCTCGTAGAGTTAAGTTCTTATGCCTCGTCAACGTAGTAAAACCGTTTCCCGTACTTTTTAATATTATACATGCCCATTTGTGAACGCGTATACGATGCGTGAGCGGGAAAAAATAAATGTTCAGACATCGAGCAGCCTAGCATTCGCAGTACTTCCGCTTCCTGCCAGTTGTCCGTTTGCCCTACTCAAGATCATCGTCGAAAAACCTGCCTCGCCGCGCACCATAGTACATGCTCCTTTGCCCCGGTAATAAGCGAGGTCGGTGCAATCTCGGCGACGAGTCATTACAAGGGCTCAGCTCTCTCGGGCTCGCCTGAGAACTTTGTACGCTCGATTTGCCTCTCGCAGGCGTTCACTTGTTCGTCGTATCATTAGATGCTCGCTTCGTTTGAATACATACATCTATACCGATCCTTTGGATCTCGCTCGAATGCTTTGCCCTGTCATTACGCCGACTCGCTACATGGTCTGTCGATTCTAAAAACTCATTCGAAATCCGAGCGAGACACTTTAAATTGTTATTAGCGTAGATAAACACCGCGCGAACATGCAAGTACGGATTAAAGAGTGGATTTGAGTTCATATTTCCATTAGCGTGTGGCGTTCCGAGGCAGCGCTCGACGCTTCTTCAATCATTACAAGTTATTTCAACTCTAATGAATAATATTGTTTTAACAGCTCGGCACAAAAATTATTGTCCAGGGAAAATAAAAAAAGGCGACGAGTACAATACGGTGGCAGCACAACAGTCCGGTATAAAAACAAAAGAATGTGCGAGGTTGGCGTCTGTCGGCAATCGTTGGCGCGTAGTTTACGCACATTAAATAGCGACTAGGGCGAGCGAAGAAGAGCAAGAAAAACACCAGCGAATGAGGAAGCGCAGCACATTACGGCAGTGCGAGAGGCAAAAAAATAAAATAATAATGAAGCAAATAGCTGAAAAGGTGGATGGTGCGCGACGCGTGGCAGCAGCTGGCGCACGCCCGATCATCGCGAGGCGAGAAGCCAGGTGCAGCATTGATATTTCCCCCTTTGCTCGTGAGGCGAGCACGGCATATATACCTTAACTCATTTACGTACCGCAACGCGATAAAAAAGTAAGCAGACCTGTTAAATATGTGTTAGGCATTTGATCCCCTCTCTTGAGTCATCTCCAAGTGTAGTGAATCATACTTGCGACGCATCATATCCTATGTAGGAAAACCATATCTAAAAACCCATAAGCTACCCCCATGTGACCAAATAACTATTTCTATATTCACACTTGTATGGGAACGCAACATCAGCAGCTCGAACTGAGTTCTTGTTTATCAGAATTACCAAGTTTCTCATAACAATTGTGAATCCTTTTGTTAAGCCACGCGAAATTGGGTAAGTTTATATGAGAAACTATATCAAAACTTTCAACTGCAAAAGTTCAAGTTTAGCTCGCTACTTTTAAAATTGGCCAATATTTTAGTTTGTTTGTTGATAGAAAGTTTAAACGCCTCGCCAAGGCTTTTTTTAATTGAAAGTTAAGGCTATAGTCTTGCGCTGCTTCAGCGCTCACTCGAAACTTATCCAAACACCAACACTCGCTACATGTAACAAAGAGAAGTTTTTATCCGAGATTTCGTAATGTAAAGATCAGCTTATTCCATTGATATTCAAATAATCTCCCTTCGCATCGCCTCTAGTACGAGCGCGGTCAACTTCGGCGAGGTATTTGGCCGATTATTTCTTTTTTTCTTTATAAAATCGCACAACATTTCGTGCCGGGAGACAAAGAAGCAAAAAAATATGGAGTTTCTATAAGCACGAACAAACATAACTCACAGTGTGTTCTTGAGGCTTTATTATTAAGTACAGGAGAATGAACGAATCTATTAACGTTCACTCTAGAGTGAGAGATCGAAGGCCGCTATCAGCCGTGTAGAAGCAGTATATAAACGCTCGGCGCGATAACGAATATAATCGATTTTAACCGTGTCTCATGTCATAATAATTAATGTACCTAGTCAATTTCAACTGGAGGCATTCATCGGTTGAACGGCCGTTTAAGGGAACTGTTAATTTTTCCCAATTTTTGGCGCGGCGCTATTCAAAATGATGACCTATTAAGCTAAATGGTCGGTATATGCTAATAGAGTCGTTAAAGAGAAGCAGGGAAAGAAAAGAGAGAGCGGGGGAAGGGACATTGTCACCTTGTGCGGCGCGTTATACAAATCTTCGGAAGAATCACGTGCATATGATCGAGGGAAAAAGATGGCACGTTTGGGAAAATTGGGCGGCGATATTCCCTGATGCCTCACGTTCTTCTCGCTAACGAGCGCTGGTAAACGTAAACATTATTAAGGAAGCATCGATCATCGATCGTTGGAGGTCCATTGTAGGTAGTCGAATCGTTGTGATGCAAAAAGGAGCCGCGCGCAAAAAAGAAACGTTTCGCACAATAATGCGATGCGAGGCAAGATGACAGTAGCGGAGAGCTATAAACGTAAATCAATGCGTACAAGATAACAATGTGTTTATTAGTAGCCGAGGCGTGCGAAATGCGGAGAATCGACGCGGTGGTCACGCTTTGGCGATCATCGCCGAGGAAGCACGTAATACGAAGTCGCTCCCCAAGCAAGTATCGCGAGGACGATCGGCCTCTGCGGTCCCACCCCCTCGCCCGAACAATAAGCGCATCTCTGTATATAGATATATTAAAGTAGTATGTGTGTATGTGTAGGCAGAGTCGTGTGCGCGGGGCATGTGTACACGATCCGCCAGCAGCACGCAACGCCGACTCGACTGTCCGTGGCTGAAAAGAAGGAAAGGAAAAAGAGCGAAAAGTTCACGCTCGACGTACCCCACTAAAAATCCCGACACGAAGATAATCATCCTGCTGATCCGTTTGTGTCTGTTAAGTGCCTAGACGTAATTTCTCCTTGTGCTCGCTCTTTGCAGCTCTTCTACCTCGTCGGAGCTAGCAAGCAACACGAATTTGTCTAAATTCGCCTATTGCTCGGAGCTGCGGAGTGGAAAAAAGCGGCTTTTCTGCAGGCTTGACTCGATTTGCTGCACACGCTTTAACGGAAACTCTGCTCTTTCTCGCTCTCGTCGCTCTCACGCCGTCCTCTTCATTAGTGCACTG